GTATCTGAATGGGAGAGAAGATGGAGCCACGGAAGTAGTCCTGGCCCAGGAGCCTGGAACTGGGCAAAACTATTCCCGATTGTTTCTTTGCCTTCGAATAAATGACAACATTCATGGGTTTGGGTTTCCTCCTGAGTAGAACATAAGGTAGGACCTTTATTCTACATGATGGCTTCCAGAGCTAGCTGGCATCCTGCCCGTCTAGAATATGGGCCCAACATCTCAGGATACTTCCATGGGGCTCTGTAAACTAGCTGCTGCCTCAACAAGTTGTAATAATTGTAGAAATGATACAACAAAGATTCACATTCTCGAGTAAGAAAGTAAGGATTTGTGGTAGTTTCAGGGAGGAAAAAGGCGGGTTCATTTTGCAAATACATTCACAGAGAAGGCACGCATGAGACTGTGGCTCTCTTCTGACATACTTAGCCCCCAGCCAGGGTCACGGATGATATACCTTCATTTCGAAACTCAGATGAAGTTGACCATACAAAAATGATCCTCATGTTACCAAAGAGACATTTTACCATGGGGATTTTGTTACACATCCCTTCATGTTCAATAATTTTCACTAAACCCAAGGAAGCATACTTATTGGTTATGTGTTGTCTTTATGTGGTCATTTCAAAACATGGCCCAACTGCTGTCTTCTTTTGATTGCATGGTCGGTGCCAGACGAAGCTGGTCAGGAAGGCCAAGTCTGTGATACGGAACTGCCGTTAGAATGTTAAGAAAGTAAGAGTCTTAGTGCTACTTTGGACATTTCATTGGAGTCTTTATAATTTTATCTAAATCGCTGCCCTCCTGAGTAGGTCCCATCCCTCTTCTCTGCCCCCTCCATGGAATATTGTTCTCCATACGTTTCATAGGCTAGAAATTCATCTGTGTGGCACATCACCTAGTATTATAGTAATGGAAATATAGTGGCCAATTTTTATCTATTTGGAGAAGGCCAAGGTTGAGGAATTGTAAAGTATGGTTAATGACTGATAAAGTAATTTGAAACTGCAAGATACTGATCGACATGATACGTTAATAGAATTGGAGAAAAGTGTGTCATCCTCACTTTGAGCAGTTTTTAGTATAATATTTGTTATAAGACATAATGTGTTAAAGGCCTAAAGCTCAAAAAAAAAAAAAAAAGCCTAAAGCTCAGCCCCACTAAATGTATATTGCCCATTTATTGTGCTGTTATAATCATCAAAACTGGACTACGAATTTTTTATAAGAATATAATTTGCTTAGCTTGTTTTCACTGTAGCATTAATGGTTGACTTGAGTAAGTGGCTCAAATAATCCCCTAAAGGGATTAGGGTACTCATGCTTTTTTACAAAGTTTTCTGAGATATTGGCCAAAGAACGAGGGGCAGACATCAGTTTTTATGATATGTTTTTAATATCTACTCTAAAGATACCACATGCAATAAATAAATTGACTGTAGAAACTATTAACCATGTAATGTTATTTATCAGTCCACTGTTTCTATATTGGACAGAAAGTATTAGTGGTAGAACGTTTTATAGGTGATAAATGATTTTCAAACATAATTGCCCAATGAAGACAGAAAAATTGTACAAGATACCAGGACTAGTACTCTAGTTACTACTTGGTGAAAAAAAGTGAGGTTTACTTTTAATAAAAAGGTTTCACTTTATTTCACATGTTCCATCAAACAGCATCCTCCTTAGTATGTAAGTAAATATATATTTCTGATTTTATTAGGTTCATATTGTGGCAGTGGCCAGAACCTATTGATTCATAAATATCTGTAACCTGCATAAATAAATTAGTTCTGAGTGCCTATTACTCATTCAATGAATTAGTGAAAGATGTGTTTTCTTTTCCCCCCACCAGTAATGATAAACTATTGGGTCAAGGTTATTTTATACTTTTCCACACTTTAAAGATAATGTCAGGTATTCGTCATGGGTGCAACGATTAATATTTTCAGAAGAAAACTTGGGGATGTAAGAAATAACCTCTCCCCCCTCCCACCATGTCATCTATCTGTGAACTGTGTACACCCTCCAGGCTTTCTCTGCTCTCAGAAGAGCCTCCACTTACTCGGGTCAGGGCCCTTTACCACTGCTCTCTTCCAACCCAATACTGAAACTGTGACCATCTTCACTCACCTGCCTAAATCCAGTTGGAACCCCAACTGAGTCACTCTCAGAAGGAGCCAAAGGATGTTTTTGGTTCATAGCAACCCCAATGGCAGGAAAGATATAATACAATTTCTGAGGGAGAAAAATGACTTGCAGAATGTAGAGGCATCTTCAGTCCAAACCTATGAGCTCAAGTGAGCTGAATATGTGTCTACGTCCATTCTAATTGCTCCAATGAAATTAGTTTTATGAAGTTCCAGGAGTATAGTATGGTAACTTTTCCTTCATCTTTGGTTTTTGTAGAAGATTTATATGCTCGTCATTTTTATTACAATGCGCACTGCCTTAATGTCAAGTATATTAGGCTAATATAAATTCTCCTGTCTGTTCGGTTAGCAATTTTAACTCAGCTACAATTACAAGTATAGATGGAGGAGTATGCTAGAATAAATCTCCAAAAATGTACCATGGGAGACTTTATAGCATTATCCTCATTGGGATGAGATTGGGTTAAAGACTTGGGAAGGAAATTTCTCTCACATACTCTTTTAATGACATTATTTTCAGAATGAACTGGCCCAAGCTTAGCCTGATATTTGGTACCGCCTCAGTTATGCTCACTGGTAGTGGTCACAAGCAAATGATGTTCTGGAAGCAATTTCATTCAGGTATTGTGTCTTCTACCAAACAGACACAAGAGCAGACTCGTCTAATTAGCAGAACCTCCCCCCACCCCCGGCCCCGGACTCTCTCTCTGTGCTTCTCGCACATTAATGACGCTGAGACATGAACCAGGACCCCTGAGGGGCCTTCCCCACAAGTCCCACGTAGAAACTGTGGTCTCTAAGCAACAGCTCGACTGAGTGAGTGGGTGAGAGCCTTGCTCTGAATGTGGCACCACTAGGAGCTGTGCTCAAATGGTCTCAGTGGGGAGTTGCTCTGGTGTGGTTTACAACGGCATTTCAGAAGCAAATGCCAATGTGCTAAGTGATTCAGAGGTGTATGACCCCGCAAGCTGGGATTTTAGGGAAGCTGTATCATCATCAGGAACCAGGCATCTGCTTTTCTGCTGTGTCAGCAAAATTCACAGCGCAGAGTTTGAATAATTTTCTTTTTATCCCTGAAAGCTTAAGATAATTATTTTTCACAGCCACATTAACTCTTATGATTAGCATCTTGATGGGGTTTTCATACTTATCTGAGAGATTCAGAGAGTCTAGGTAGTTGTTATAAGTGTACATTTATCTAGGAGGGACCCAGAACCATTTCTAGTCATTAGTAATTCTCTGAAATGAATTTGGAATCTGCATTCAAGCTATGGATAGAGATAAAAAAAAAAAGAGTCTTATTACAGATCAGCAAAACAGATAACCCTTCAACAGACTAACTTTAATAGTTTAAAGAATTTTGTTATTAAGAAAAAAATTCAGGCTTTTATCTTACATGATCTGGGTTCATTGTTCTTTAGATTCCCCTTGGAGTATTTATAAGCTGACCATCTTAGGCATGTGGCATCAGATAATTCAGGCAGAATGATTTTTATTTTTACTTGAGTAAACTTCAAAATTAAGGACAAAAATATCTTTGTTGACCTTAATTAAATTAGACAAATTTTTTAGATCACGTGGAAGCCAACCACTCACTTCCCTTTAAACTTGGTAGTTTTGTCACGAATTTCAGATACAAAAAACGATATTTGATCCGTTTTCTCTGATGATCCCAACCAACCCATGTCCATTAAAAAGAAAGTAAGCTTAGCAAATTCTGGTTACACACTAAATCACAAGCACCCAATGGCTTTTGAGAATGGCATCTATAAAATCTGAAATAATTAATATCTACAATCCTGTGCCCATTGTTCTCCCGACTGTAAAATAGCTGAGTTCTTTTTAGGTATATACATATACTTTTTATCTGTTTCTTGAAATACAGCCTCTCATTTAAAGTCTTTCTTTTATTTGAGGGTAAACGGAAGCAGTGCGTGATCACACCTAATCTTCCTCACGTAGCTCAGAGGGATGGTCAAAGAGAGAAACATCGTCAAGAAGGGAGTACTAACCAGAAAGACAGTGTGGTGACATGACACGTAGGACAGACAGCTGGACCAGTTCTCTTGCTTTCGTTTTCGAGTGTGTCCCTCCTTCTCACATATTCATTTATACTTGTCAGAGGAGCAGACTTGACTACATAAGTACTTTTGCTAATAAGAAGCCTTTTTTTTTACAGCACTATTTTAAAAATAGCTATTCAACATAACAATCTTAATGTTAATGCACCAAATTACAGTATTCAACAATGTAAGTGAGCATATCCTGTCACCCTCAGCACACATTTGATATATACTTGTTAGATATAAATGGATACAGCAATATCCATGTCTCTATTTGTCTACAGATGCGCGCGCGCGCACACACACACACACACACACACACACACACACACACAGCAGAGCTACAAGGCCCTGCTCAACAGTGTGTTCTAGATCTCGGGTTCCCTTAATTGTCACTGGGGCTTATTTATATGGAGAGTTATGATGCCATTTGTAGACCTTGCTGGATTTGTCCCCGTCAAAACTTTCCATGCCACATAGGTTGTGGTAGGTGACCTTATGTCTAAGGACAGACCCTGTCATCAGGCAGGAGGGCTGAGCCACGAGGACAGGGGTCAAGCCCACCACTCAGGCACAACCCAGCGCGGGCAACTTCTCGTGGTGCCCAGAACCAAAGAATTTCATTTAAATGACCTTTCATACGATTTGGATTCTATTTTTGTAAAACATAGATTCCCCCCCACCCCCAAAAAACTCAATAAATAAAGGACTTAGCCACAGAGTCAAGGAAGCAGAACTCCAGGTTTTAACCTTCTACTGGGATCGGGACTAGACCCGCCCCATTTCAATTTTGCCTGCAACTGGTCTTCCAGGAGCCTGAGGGTGCAGCAACCCCACCAGCAGGTCCAGACAGACTGTCTCTCTGGTCGGCAGTGGCTCTCTGACTGTCATTGAATGAGGCTGGAGCTGTAGCTGAATCCGTAACTGCTCGACCGGGACAGAGACGGCTGAGTCTCTTCGCTCTGCTCCGAGGCGTAGCTGGGAAATGTCTGTGCACGCGACATCTTCGAGGAACCAAACCCATGACCTGAGAGAAGGGAAGGAAGAAAAGGTGTACTAAGAAATAGATTCAGAAAGGCAAAGGGATATATTGGAAACAAAAGCAAAAAACCCACAAAAACCAAGCAAACAAGGCAGATGCCCACAAATCCTCAAAAGAGAGCTCCAGGTAAGTACCTAAGTGTGAAAATTGGAGAAATTTGGCACATTATTTCTCTTTGAGTTAATAATGAATTCAGGGCTCAATATTTTCCTCAAGCATGTCTTGTCAAAAATTCGGATGCCAGGCAGCTAGGTAAATTTTCTAGAGATCTCAAACTTCTAGTAGCCTCCAGCTATTGGAATACAAGCAGAAAAGATTTTCTGAAAAAAAGCTGTTTTTGATGGAGAGCCTGTGAGCTGCGTTCTTTTCTTTTGTACTCACTTTCAGCATACAAAAGCAAATTACACACTTTCTTAAAACCTTTTTTGAGCAGGCAAATTACACTGCACCCCAACCAGTAACCATCAATTAGCAGGAAAAGCTTTCGCAATTGTAGACTTCAAGGCCCTGATTTACCCTGTCGGTTTTGTGAGTAACTGAACCCACTTCGTGATATGATTAACCTAAACAGTGAATCTTTATGGTTAATAAAATGGCTGGAAGGTTTAATCTTCTAGATAATAGATTTAAGGAAAATTCTATCTATGCTTTTGGGAGTTCGGACGCATCCCTGAAATGAAGTATTTGTCTAATGCAAACGGAAACAGAAGTGACCACCGAGAAGCTTGTCAGCATGCTGACAACAGAGGGAGAAAAATGTCACTATTTCCAGGGGCCTTCCCATCCTTTTTCTTAACCATGAATTTATTCTTCATATTTGAGAATGAGCTTAGTGAGCAGAGAAGAAAACTAGATCCAGTGCGCTCCACCCTTCCAGGGAGTATATTTCACCCAAAGGGAAAGATGTTCCTAGTCTGATTGGTAATGTTTCTGGTCTCTACCAAGAGGAATAGGACACACGGTCCGCTCTCGCAGAAACGAGGACCATCTAGTCCTTTTCCTTAGGTGGCACAGCGGAGGGGTCATGCACCTAAAGCCAGTTTCATCATTAGGTGAGTCTGGTGACTTGGAAAACATCCTTGCAGTTTCAGAAGCTTGGGGTCCAGGGAGAAATGCAAATGAATTGGGTAATAAAAGGCTAATTAAACTGGTAGAACCTCTTAATGTTAAAAAATTGTGAGAGTGAAATCTTGCTTTCTACATAAAAAGTCACTTTCACTGTGGCCTCATTCCCTTGTAGATTAAGTCTCCCCAGGAGCAGATCAGGGGAGAAGGGAGATGTGGGCATTTCCTCTTTGCCTTGCCCTCTGGCTGCTCCTGGGGTTCTGCCAGCCCAGCCTCCTTTTGAGCGTCTGGACCTTTCTGCTCCCTGCTCTGCCTCTCCCAGGGCCGCCTAACCACCCTTCCTCTGTGGGTGGGAATGCTGCCCACTGTTGCCCGTCCTTCACAATTCCTTGCTGGTTCCATCACTTCCCTCCCAGCACTTATAAATAGTCCTTTAAAGTCTCTTAACATCCCATCTGGTCGTGTCTTCTCTTTTCCTGTAGGACCCTGATGCTTCAAGGAGGAACACTGGATCTGGGAAGAGGCAGAAAAGGGGAGAAATTAGGGGGACCTAGGGTGAGGTCAGGGGTGGGAACTCGGAGCTAGAAGACCAGATATGCGTGCTGCTTCTGCTACTTATAGGAGTAACCGACCTTGTGAGACTCACAAGTGTTCTCAGTTTCCTTAGCTGCAAATTCTGGATGACATGAATGGTGCTATATGACCCATTTGATTCCCAAATCAATGAGTTGTAATTGAATTCCAACATGTTAAGTGCTACCACCATAGTGAACAGATAGGATGTCACCATCGACTCCAACAAGGTCACCTAGATGGGATGGTCAGGGAGGGCCTCCTGAAGAAGGTGGCATTTTCACATGATATGTGACAAAGTTATGAGAGAATAATGTGATATGGAAAAAAAAATCACTTGAATACTTTAACAATTTTGCCTCCTTATCTTACCATTGACTTCCTGGATGATAACTCACAGTCTTCAAAAGTGGAACTACTGGCCTTTATCAACATAAACCAGCTGGAAATGCTAATATTAAGACAGTGTTCCTGGTCTTGGTTTTATCTTACTGAAAAAACAAGTGAGAAATATCCGAGGGGCGCCTGGGTGGCTCAGTCGTTAAGCATCTGCCTTTGGCTCAGGTCATGATCCCAGGGTCCTGGGATTGAGCCCCACACCGGGCTCCCTGCTCGGCAGGAAGCCTGCTTCTCCCTCTCCCACCCCCCCCGCTTCTGCTTGCTCTCTCGCTGTCTCTCTCTCTGTCAAATAAGTAAATACAATAAAATTAAAAAAAAAAAAGAAAAGAAATACCCGAAAGAGGGCAGTACCAGAGAACACCTTTAATTCGCTCGCTTTGCTTGTGGGCTAAAAGCGAAGGCTTGTTAAGTTGTGGATTTGGAAGAGTCTGGCACATGCAGCTTTTTACCCTAGAATCTTGAGTGTGAAAATTCACTCACGCAGCTACTACTCGTCAAACATCAGCTAAAACAGCTCAGCACCGCACAGGGGAGGCACGAAATGGGAAGTGCAGCTCCTGCCTTTGCAAGTGGTCCACAGACTGCTTTGGGAATGGTGGCTGGTCAAGGAGACAAACAAGAAACACGAAAGAAGGGCGCACGCAGCCCATGCTTTCCAGGATCCGGGCAGGGCAACGATGGGGCCGAGAAGAGAGCTACAGACGTCCTGTCAACCACCGCAACTGCCCTCTGCCCCCAAGTATTTTGAGGACTGGGTGAACCACCACTGGGGAAGACGCCCGGAACTCGAGGTACCCAGTAGATGTTAGTTTTCTTCTTTCTGTCTCTGCCCAGTGGGTCCAGATTCTTTTCGGTGCACTCACTGTCTGTGCTTTCACCCCAGGGCAGCCTGCAGCCCCTTGCTGGGCCGGGTTTGGAACGTCATTCTCCTTCAAGGTCAACATTGCTTTCTTCATTTCCTCTCTGAACCACTTCTAGTCTAACTGGAAATTAAATTATGATTTTTTTTTTTTACTTCTACCATTTCTTTACAGACAATTAACAAATGATGCTATTTAATGTTTGTCACAAAAATAACATACCTCAATCAGAACTGTTACAGATGAGGGCTTAATAAGGACTGTTTGATTATGGCAACAATGAGTAGGAGAAAAAGAGAGAGAAATAATTAGCATTTTCTCAACATTTATTTGAATTATGCCCTTTGGCACTGTTGATGAAAACAAAACAGAAATCTACTTTGTGGCTTCAGTTAAACACTTGCTAGCATACACTCTTCACACCACTAAACAAGAGACTCTATTTAAATGCTTCCTCCAGATCATCCCCTAAAGACAAATGAGGTGAATAGGTGCCCTGGGAATGTGGGGAATTCTATAACTTAAAAGCGACGAATTTGCTAATGGCTACTGGTCCATCTTAAAAGTCTTTTTACATTTTTGTTTCTATTCCTGTGTATATTCATCTTTGTTTTAATAGAAAATAATATTTTCTACCCATATTTTCAGGGAATATTGACAAGCTGGGAAAAAGCCCCGTATTTCCCTGGCAGTCTGAAGTATACTCTGAAATGACGCTTCATAACATCCCTCTTCTCCCCGCTCCGCATGGTATGTGCACAATCCCCAGACTGAAGAACACGGTTCCATCCCATAAAGAAGGAAATATATTGGATATTGAGACACTGAGAACATCTGCTTATTCTAACAAAATCACAGGACTCCTCCCAATTCCAGAAACGTAAGTACCACGGGACAAGGAAGGCAAAGTCACTCTAGCCATAAAAGGAAACCTTTCCTGACGCACCCTAAAAGATGCAAACCAGTAAAGAGCTAGAAGGAACACAGACGCAGTGGAAAATGACAACCAAATCAGGATGTAGGACCAGAGAGTCACCTAGAAGAGAAAACCAGAATGACAGCACCTTATCAATATCCTCCCTTTCCCGAGGAATGAAGAAGCGCATTTTTCCCGTTCTGCTAGCTCCTGGTTTTCTGTGCTTACCAACGTGTACGTACTCTTTCCATAAACTGTAAAGGAAATGGTTGCTTTAGCCAGTCAGCAGGGTCCCAAAGCATAACACTCATGCTTATTAATTGGTAAGAAATAATGGATACTTGATTTGAATTTATGTGTTTTATTAGTTTGTTGGGATCTGGGAGAGAGGGAAGGGTGTTGTCTGTTTAAATAGTAAAACATTTTTTTTAAAGGCAGAAAAAAACCCCAAGTAAAACGGTTGCTTCAGGAGTGGGGCAGACCAGGGAAAGGCATCAAGAGCCATCGGGCCTCGGTAGACACAGAGGAGGTGCCATCTTCCCTAACAAGGGGCTTCTAAGGGTGGGGGGGAAGGGGTGACAGAGGGTAGCCGGGCCTGGACGCTGAAGGACAGACAGCAGGAACAGCTCCGGGGGAGCAGGACAGAGGTCGGGCCGAGCTCTCACAGCAGAGGACTGTGGGCCAGAAGATTTTCGTGGGCATCTAATCCTTGGATGTTTACCTGGCAGGTGGCAGAAGTGGAAACCAGACTAGAGGTGGTAGTGGCCTGGAGCTGCCCTCAAGGATCGTAATGAGGACTTGCCACCTACAAGTTATGCCTGGAGACGCCAGGGACTCACTGCCCACATCTTTTCCGTCGCCGTATTTCACTTTCACTCAATTCATTCTAATTACAGTTCAAACCGGACTATCTTTTAGTTTAATCTATGTGCTCACCTAGTAGGTGCTGCTGAAGTTCCAGTGGAGAGTCCAGGGTTGCAGTAGCTTCATGCCCCACCCCCTGCTTTTTTTTTAAAAAGATTTTATTCATTTATTTGAGAGAGAGAGAGAGAGAGAGCAGGAGTGGGTGGAGGGAAGGAGAGGCAGAGGCAGAGGAAGAGGGAGAAGGAGGCTCCCCACGGAGCAGGGAGCCCGATGCGGGGCTCGATCCCAGGACCCTGGGATCATGACCT